TCTCCTCTCTGCTTCTCTGTTTCTGTCTTAGAGCTCACCCATGGCTTCCTGGGGCTCATTGCCTTCCTACACCTCTCTTCTTAGGTAGGATCTTGCTGTTCCCTACATTTATTTTTTTTTTCTTCATACTGTTTTAGTTACTGTTCTTTTGTAGTATATTTTGAAATAAGGAAGGGTGATGCTTTCAGCTTTGTTCTTCTTTCTCCAGATTGTTTTGGCTATTTGACTGGCTATTTGGCTATTTGATTCCATATAAATTTTACAATTAGTTTTTCTATTTCTGTGAAAAATGCTGTTGAGATTTTGATATGGATTGCATTTAATCCGTAGATTGCTTTGGGTTGTATGGGCTTTTTCACAAGATTGTCTTTCAATCCATGAACGTGGGATGTCTTTCCATTTGTCTATGTCTTTAACTTCTTTCATCAATGTTTTGTAGTTTTCAGGGTACAAGTCCTTCACCTCCCTAGTTAAGTTTATTCCTAAGTATTTTATTACTGACGTTATTGTAAATTGTATATCATGTATCTTTATATCTGTCTATCTATATATCTACCTACTCACCTATTGTCTTTCTCTCCAGCCAGAATATGACCTCCTTGAGAGCAGGAATCCCATCTGTCTGGCTCATAGAACTGGTACATGGTACGTACTTTAGAACTATTTGTTGACTTAATTTTTTTTACTGTCCATTCAACATGTTAATATATGTACATACTATATTCTATCCATTTCTTTGCTGATGGACCTAATGCCAGTCTTTTAACTATTATTGCAATGAGTACTCTCGCACATAGGACTTCTGTTGAAATGTAAATTAACTTATAAATGAATTAATAAAAGTAAAACAAATGACCCAACTTTATTTTTCTGAGTGGTATGCCAGTTGTCACATCCCAACTTAGGGATAATCTGTTTTTCTCCCACTAATACAATGAGGTGTTTATACAGTAAGGCACTAATCTCACACTAATATAGTAAGGGCACTGAGCTGTGACTTAAATGCTTGGGCTTTTCTTGCTGGGTAACAATACAGGGGGAGAAGTCCAGAAGCCTGGGCTCTCTCCTGTGGGTGGCTCTCCATTCCTGATGACAGGGCCAGGACCAGCCCAAGGCCAGAGAGTGCTCAGAATTGAAGGATGTCCTCACTCATGGGAGCCTGAGCACCAGAGCCTCCATAAGTTTTGCATCCTAGGTGCATGGCTTGCCTCACCTGGATCCAGCCCTACCCTAAGCTTGTGTCCTTACTGTGTGACCCAAGATGGTCACTGCCCTGTATGTGGCCAGGCCTCAGGCTGGGGAAAACCCAGAGGAAGTGACTTGTTTTTAAGTTAGAGATGATCAAGTGCATGGAATTCTCTATTCTGCACTGTCCACCACTGCAGCCACTAGGCACATGTGACTCTTTGAGCCCATGAAATGTAGCTAGTGCAACTAACTGAATTTTTAATGATGCTTCATTTTAATTAGTTTACATTTAAAATTAAATGGCCACACATGGCTAGTGGCTGCCATATGGGGCAGCACAGGAGAATTCACACTCAGAACTTCTGCCTCTATTGCCCTGACCCAGATGTTGCCACATGGCTGAGTACTGGGGAGTCTGGGGGTGTCATCCCTGGCTGGATAGCCATGTGCCCAGCTCCGAACTGGAGATGGGGCAGGAGGCGGGCTTGGGGTTGCTGCTGAAACAACTGAGGGGACCTCAGTGAGAGTAACAGCATCTGACTTGAAGAAGACAACTTCATTTTGTGTTATCTTTCATATTTATAAATACATGGGTCTCTTTCCAGTCTGTCCATGTAGTCCACAGGGTGGTTTGTCACATCAAACTATTTTAATTTCTATACATTCGAATGTGTTTTAATGTCTAGTAAAGCTAATCTTCTCTTATTTCCTCTTCTTTTTCATAATTTTCTTCATTATTCTCATATGTTTAGTTTTTCTGCAATAAGCTAAGTATTTAGCTCAGAAGAGAATCCTGTTTTTACGTGAATCCACAATTAATTTATAATATGGTGTGATAAGAACTGACTGAGGAGATCTGCTTTGTCTTTTACTGAAATTTTGTTTTCTGTTTCATGCTGGAGGTTTGAAGTTTTCTCCACACAAGTTCAGCATATATCTGGCTACTTTTCACACCTATTGTTTCTGTTGGAATTGTGAAGAGAATCTTTTCTTCCTTTTTTTTTTCTCCCTCAAACTGGTTTTTATTTATATAGCGAAAAGCAGCTCTATTTAGCATCTGAGTGTGTTGCTAGCCGTCTCTTTTTATGAGTCTTCAATTGTATCTGGTTTCCCAAGCACATGGTGGTACCATCTTTCAATTTCACTTTCTTCTTTACAATTTTTCATCTCTTGGGTTATTTTCTTGCCTTAAATCGACATTCAGTAACCGTAGTGACAAAATGAGAAGGTGTCTGGTGTTTCAGTATCAAGTTTAATATTCATTTTTGGCTCAAGATGAGCTTTTTATCATAATAAGAAAATATCCACTTATAAAAGTGCTTTTAAAATTTAATCAGGAGTGCTAATTTTTTTAAAATGTCATTTTAGCTCCTATGCAGATAATTATGTGGTTTTTCTTCTTTGACATATTAACATGGTGAACTATGTTAATAGATTTTCTAATGTGAATTTTCCTTGCATTCCTGGGAGATACATTCTATTTGGCTATGATATATTATTATTTTAATGAGCTTTAGAATTAAATTTAATTAGCTAATATTTCATTTAGGCTATTTGAAGAGATTGTTCTTTTTTTTTTTTTTGTCTTTTTTATCTTTTTCCGTGTCCAGCAACGGATCGCAACCCTCAGTGTTGCGCCCGTACCGGACCGGGAC